TATGCTGTCCCTAGAAATTTTAGAAGAATCAATGTGTTTAAATTATGGTGTCAGAGAAGAATAATGAAAGACCATGAAATGCCAAAACAAACAAATCTGTATGGAAAAAGTATATCCAGAACACTCCTTAGAAGGGAGGATGGTGATGCTTTGTCATACTTCAGATATGCTATCAGGAGGGATCAGTCCCTGGAGAAGGACATCATGCTTGGTAAAGTAGAGAGGATCAGAAAAAAAGAGGAAGACCTCCCAAAGAGATGCACTGACACAGTGGTAACAACAACGGACTCAAACATAAAAATTGTGTGGATGGCACAGGACTGGGCAGTGTTTCATTCTGTTGGACATAATGTCTCTATTAGTCTAACAGTAAAACAGCTAACAGTAAAAACAACAATTATTTAAGGTCAGGGGCTATTTTATAATTCAATAGATCATGAAATGTGTTCATCAAATAACAAAATTTTAATTTCATCAAATTTCAGAAGCTTATTAAAAAATTTCAGACCAAAATTCCATAGCTTATCTACAATGTTGTTCTTCGGGTTAGATGCCTTTGAATTTGCTCTGACTCATAGCCACACTATGCACAACAAAATGAAACACTGCCCAGTCCTGTGGCAGCCTCACAATGGTGCTTTTTAAGCCCACTGTTGCAGTCACTTGTTAAACTCATTGCATCAGTCCATCTTGTTGGGGGTCTTCCTCATTTTTGCTGACCCTCTACTTTACTAGACATGATGTCTTTTTCTAGGGTCTGGCCCCGCCTGGTATATCTACAATATCTTCTATTTAATGGCTCTTTTAGAACCCAATAAAAATAGAGATTAAATCTAAAATAACTAAATTAATGCCTGGGAAGTAGAGTGAGCCTGGTATGTCGGCAGCATTTAGAAATTACATTAAGTAAATATAATAGAACTGCCAGTATCTATCAACATTAGAAAAACAAGAAATTGTGTGGGTTTGTTGAAAATTTATGTTAAATAAAGAGAAACTCTTACAAGTAATATAATTTTATAATATATAATTTATTATGTTACTTTTAAGATTATATAATTATAAAACTATACAATGAAAAGTAAAGCATATCCTTTTGAGTACATCTTTATAATTATGAATATTTTTTATTTTGAGTGGAAAATTGATGTTCTGCCATAAAACAATAATACAACTTAATCCAGTGATCTCAAATTTTTCCTAGGGATTGATTTTAGCAGAGTCAGTTAAGAATCTTTAAAGAAAACAACCCTCCTCCACACTCATTTCATTCATACATGTTTTTAAAGCCTCAGATTAATTAAGAATGGGCTGTGACCCAGGAATCAGTATTAAAAATAAAGCAAAACAAAATCTCCCCAGATGACTCCAAGGTATTGAAGATATTTGGCATGTACTGACCTAATTGACCTCCAGGGCCTCTTTCATTTTTCAAAAACATAATGAATTCATATATATTTTCTACTTCACTTTTCTAGTTATAACAATTTCTCTATGGCTAGACCAAAGAGAATTTATGGTAGATAATGTGTAGGTGGAATTCTCAGTTTGTCTTTGAACAATGTGAAGAGTTAGGCATTTCTCCAGGTTCAAACTGAAGGTCCAGGCTAGGGTTTCTTTTGGTTCTTATGAAATACATGATATTTAGAAATAAATAGGTCTACTTGTTGAGTGTACGCAGATACTTAAGTAATCTAATATATGAAGGCACTTCAAAAAGTTCATGGAAAATGCAATGAAAAGATAATGGAATTTTTCCATGAACTCTTTGAAGCCCCCTCAGATATTGTAAGGCATTTTTTTTTTTTTTTAATAATAAGCTGCACTTTCCCTAAATCTTTCTTTAAAAGCAAAATAAATTCACTTAATTTTTTAATGAGTCTTCTTTTGGAATCTGCTGGATCTCAAATAAGGTACCTAGTTTTTATGATTTATACCTTTTCTTGAAAATGGTTTTCATAGGTTAGCAAAATTTTCTTTATATTCACTCTCTCATATAGCTCTTATTTATTAAGCACTTTTTATTTCCCAGTAGCTACTTATTTAATTTGTATATGTCATTGAATTTAAGCCTTCCAACAATTGTTATTCTTAAGTGCCTTTGAGTGGGTTAGACACAGAACAATCCTAT